AAAAATAAAAAATAAATAAACCTGATGCCCCCGCCCCCCCAAGGGGCACTGACCACGCTGCCGGGGGGGATGGGAATGCGGGTGGGGCAGAGGGCACAGGCCCCTCGTCCCCCCCCAGCCAGTCCATTTGTCCTGGGGGGGGGCTGTGGGGGAGGGTTATGTACAGAGTGACGCAGTCCGTCTGTCCGTACCAGGGTGGGGGGGGCTGTGTGGCACTGTGCCCCCCCCCTCGGCGGTCCCTGGCACGTTCCTTGTGACCCTGGCACAGGCAATGGGGGGGGCCGGGGGGGTCCCGCTGCCCGGGGGGGGTCCTGCTGCCCTCCGGCTCAGTCCTCGGTGATGCCCTTGGCCGCAGCTCCTCCTGCACTCGCGCGAGGTACGTGGGGTCTGGGTACCCGAACCTGGGGGGGGGCACGGCGGGCTCAGCATGTGCCCCTCCGTGGCTGGGTGCCCCCCCCTGCAGTTTGCCCCACAGCGACGCCAGAGGAGATGGCCCCCCCCGGCCCCATAGACTGGGGTGTCCCCCCATCCTGCAAAGGTGCCAGGGGAGATGCCCCCCCCCCCCATCCCGATAGCCTGTCCCCAGGGTGAGCCCCCCCCCCCCAAATGGCAGAGGATCCCCTGCTTCCCCACAGCTTGATTCTGGGGTGCCCCCCCCACCTCACAGAGATGCCAGAGGAGACGCGCCCCCCCCAGCGCATCACCCCTGTCCGAGGTGCCGGGGAGGGGAGATGCCACCCCCCCAAGACAGCCTGACACCAGGGAGCCCCCCCACCCCACAGCCATGCCAGGAGTGATGCCGCCCCCAGTCCCCCATAACCTCCCCTGGGGGGCCCCCCCACCCCCCCCAGTCCCCCATAATATCACCCTGGGGTGCCCCCCCCACCCCACAGAGGTGCCAGGGGAGGTGACCCCACCCCACGCCCCCCACAGACTGCTCAGGGTGCCCCCACCCCACAGCTATGCCAGGGGTGATGCCCCCCCACAACCCTATAACCTGTCCCAGGGAGCACCCCCCACCCCACAGCTATAGCAGGGGAGATGCCCCCCCCCGTCCCCCATAACACCACCCTGGGGTGCTCCCCCCACCCCACAGCCACCCCAGGGGTGATGCCCCCCCCACGTACAGGTGGGGCCTGCTGGTGCAGGGATGCCCCCCCACCAGGTCACCAAGCAGTGTCAGGGTGCTCTCCTAGACGTGATGCCCCCCCACCAGGAGTGATGCCCCCCCCATAACTGTGTCAGGGTGCCCCCCTCCCAGAGGCGATGCTCCCCCCCTCCCCAGCCATCTCAAGGTGCCCCCCCAGAGGCGATGTCCCCTCCCCAGCCATGTCCGGGTGCCTTCCCAGAGGTGATGCCCCCCCCCCCAGCCATGTCCGGGTGCCCCCCTGGGGCGATGCCCCCCCCCAGCCATGTCCAGGTGCCCCCCCAGGGGCGATGCCCCCCCCCAGCCATGTCCGGGTGCCCCCCCGGGGCAATGCCCCCCCCAGCCATGTCCGGGTGCCCCCCCCGGGCGGTGCCCCCCCCCAGCCATGTCCGGGTGCCCCCCCAGGGCGATGCCCCCCCCAGCCATGTCCGGGTGCCCCCCCAGGGCGGTGCCCCCCCCCAGCCATGTCCGGGTGCCCCCCCGGGGCGGTGCCCCCCCCCAGCCATGTCCGGGTGCCCCCCCGGGCGGTGCCCCCCACGTACAGCTGCGGCCCGCCGGTGCAGTTGGTCTTGTGGTGGATGTCGTTCCAGGTGATGACGTTGGCGCGGCCCGTGGTCATGGAGGTGCCGACGGTGAAGGTGAGGCGCTGGTCGAAGGCCTTGCGGAACAGCCCCAGCACCTTGTTCCCCTCGGGGCAGTCGGGCAGGTACGCCACCCGCGTGGTGCCGGGGTACCGCACCCCCGGGTTGGGGTGCTCCACCTGCGGGGGGCACGGGAGGGTCAGGGCTGGGGGGGGAAGGCGGGGGGCAGGGGCACAGGGCGGGCTGGGGGCACCCGGCGGGGTTTGGGGGTGCCCAGGGGTGCCAGAGACACCCAGCGGGGTTCGGGGTGCCCAGGGCTGCCAGAGACACCCAGCGGGGTTCGGGGTGCCCAGGGGTGCCGGTGACACCCAGCGGGGTTCGGGGTGCCCAGGGGTGACGGTGACACCCAGCACGGTTCGGGGTGCCCAGGGGTGCCGGTGACACCCAGCGGGGTTCGGGGTGCCCAGGGGTGACAGAGACACCCAGCGGGGTTCGGGGTGCCCAGGGGTGCCGGTGACACCCAGCATGGTTCGGGGTGCCCAGGGGTGCCAGTGACACCCAGCGGGGTTCGGGGGTGCCCAGGGGTGACAGTGACACCCAGCAGGGTTCGGGGTGCCCAGGGGTGACGGTGACACCCAGCACGGTTCGGGGTGCCCAAGGGTGCCGGTGACACCCAGCGGGGCTTGGGGCGCCCAAGGGGGCCAGTGACACCCAGCGGGGTTCGGGGTGCCCAGGGGTGCCAGAGACACCCAGCGGGGTTCGGGGTGCCCAGGGCTGCCAGTGACACCCAGCGGGGTTCGGGGTGCCCAAGGGGGCCAGAGCCCCCTGCCAGGTTTTGGGGACACCCAGCAGGGTTTCCTGGCTGAGAACCCCGACAGCTGGGGACCCCCGGGGTGCCAGCAGCATGCAGTCCCTCGGGGCCCCCCCAGGGCTGGCAGGGAGGGGGGTGGGGGGTGCCGGCGCCATCTTACCCCTTGGACGCCGGGCGGGAAGACGTACTGGATGATGATGGTGCCGAACTTCTCGTAGCCGGGGAGGAGGAGGCCGGCGTCCCTGGTGACCAGCATGCGCCCGTTGGGGGGCTGGTTGCCCACCAGTTGCCCGTAGAAGCGCCCACACATGGGGCAGGCGGTCTTCACCTGCAGCGCCCGGGTGATGCAGTCCTCGCAGAAGGAATGCCGGCATTTCTCCAAGGTCTTCATCTTCTGGATCTCCCCCAGGCAGATGGGACACTGCCGGTCGGGTTCCTCCTCCCGCGAACAACCGGCCGCCGCCGCCGCCCCCCCCGCCGCCGCCGCGGCCCCCCGATGGCCCCCGGCCCCCCAGATTGGCCCCACCGGGCTCCAGGACGGCGACGCAGCCCATCAGCTCGCCGTGGCGTTGAGCTTTCTTCTTCAACTCTTTCTCCGTTTCCTTCAATAAAGCTTTGAGGGCTTTCCGGGCGGGGCAGAGCCCGCCGGGGGGGCCGGGGGGGGGCACGCAGAGCTGCAGGACGTAGATGTCGGAGGTTTCGCCGTCCACCATGATGCTGACCTTGGTCTCCTCCTTCAGGCGCGCCAGCTTGGCCGGGCTCTCCTTGGTCAAGAAGTCCCACACCCGCTTGGACACCGTCACCTTGTTCTTAGCAGCACCCCCGCAGGCCGCCATCCTGGAGAGGACAAATGACACTGCGGGGGGGGGACGGGACCCCCCGGGTGTCAGAGCCCAACCGACGGCACCCAAGGGTGGCCCCGATGAGGCCAGGGTGCCCCCCCCCGTCCCTAGTGGGGGGATAGTTGCTCGCCTGAGGATTAACCCCCCGCTCCCGCCGGCGACCCGGCAGCCCAAGGGGGTGTCACAAAACGCATGGCGGGGGGCGGGAGCGAGGTTTGGGGTACCCCCTTACCCTTGTTGGTGGGGGCCGGGGGGCACACTCGCCCACCCAAGGTGGCACCTGGAGGATAAAACTCCCCCCACCAAAGCCTGTGTGGCACCCACAGGGGCGTCACAGCCTGGTGACCCCCTGGGGCGGTGGGAGCGAGGTTTGGGGTACCCCCCCCCCCCCCCACTGCCCCCCACCTCCAGCACCGTGCTCCCTGTCCCAGGGGGGAGGTCAGGACTGAGGCGTGCCCGGCTGCCCAAGGGGGGGTCCCCACACCCTGGGGAGGGGGGCACTCCCCACGTCCGGGGGGGTGACACCCACCTGGCGAGCCCATGGGGGACAGCGCGAGCCGGAGGTGCCGGTGGATCAGTGGAGCCACGAGCCACAGGCTAGGGGAACACGGCGGGGGGGTCACACGGGGGCCCGTTACCCTCCCCCCCCCGAATAATTTAGGGGCCCATCACCCCCCCAAAGGACCCTAACCCCCATCAGGAGACCCTACAATAACAGCGGTGTAACCCCCCCCCGTGTCCCCAGGAGACCCGACACAAACAGGCCCAGTGCCCCCCCGGAGCTGTTGGGGGAGGGGGTTATAAGCTCTTCGGTGCCCCCCCCAACCCCTCCAGCACCCCAGGGCTGTGGGGCTCGTTACCCACCCCTCCACGCGTGTGTGGATCCCCACGGCCGGGGGGCTGGGGATGCAGGTGCTGCTGCCCACCCCCCCCGCCGCTATGGGGTGTCGTGCCCCCCCCCCCCCCCCGGGGGGCTCCGTGCTGGGGAGGAGGATGGCGGCGGGGGAGGGGCAGGACGGGGCCTAGCGCTGGGGGGGCAGCAGGACTGCAGGATTTGGGGGGGGGGGCGCGGACAGGCCCGGGGCGGGGGGGGGGGGGGTCCGGGTAAGGCCCGGGGCGGGGGGGGGCAGGAGGCCGGGATGGGGCCCGGGGGCGCTCGGGGGAGGCGGGGCCGGGGAGGTCGGTTGCGCGAGAGGCCTGGGGGGAGGAAGGGTCCCCGTGCCCGCCCCCCCCCGCTCCCAACCCCCCCCCCCCCCCCCCGGACCCACCATCGCCGGGCGGCCGCAGCATGGCGGGGGGGGCCCTGCCCGGAGCCGCCGCGCGTCACGTGACCGCGCGGGGCGGGGCCGTCATGGCAACGGGGCGGGGGGGGAGGGGGCCATGGTAACGGCGCGCGGCACCGGGCCCGTCGGCATGGGAACGGCGCGTGATGGCGGGGGCGGGGCCACGGGGGGCGGGGCCAGGAGGGAGGGGCGGGGCCAGGAGACCCGGGAGCGGGTCACGGGAAGGGTTCCGGGGGGGGGGGGGGTGTCCCCGGTAGCGACAGCGGGGGAACACGGGAGGGGGGTCCGGGGGGGAGGCGGCGCCGGAGGGGTCCCGGTAAAGGGGCGGAGCCGAGGGCAGTTCAATAATTTATTTCTCAGGACACAGGGGTGGGGAGCAGGGCCTGGGAGCAGGCCCCTCAGCACACACCCCACCCCTCCTCGTACGGGGGGGGTCCGGCCTGTGTCACCCCCCAAAGCCCGGCCCGCCCCCTCGAGGGGGGTCACGCAAGGCCGGGGTCCTGCCCCCAGGGGAACAGGGGCCACTGCTGGGGGCTGCGTGAGGTGAGGGGGGGGTGGCAGCCCCGCACGGAGGCAGGGGGCCAAGAAACAGACAGCGCCCCCCCGGCTCAGCTGTACCCCCACCCCAGCACCAGAACAGGGGGTGCTGGTCCCCCTCCTGGGGTGGGGGAAAAGGAAAGAGCCCCCCCTCACCCCGGTGCAAGTAGTGTTTGATTCCCACCCCTGAGCATGGTGGGGGCAGAAATATCCCATAACCCCCACTGTGGGTTTTTTTTTTTTAGGGGGGGGGGTGTGTGTGTGTGTCTGGAAGCCCCAGACCATTCCACTGCTGGGAGGGGCAGGGGGCTGAAACGTCCCTGTCCCCCCCCCTCAAATAAAGTTAAGGCACTTGAGTAGCAAAGCCCCTGCCTGCTGGGGTGGGGGGAGCTGCCGTGGGGGGGCCTATGCCTGGGGGAGGGGTGACAGGGGGGCGCCCCCTCCCCTAGGCAAAGATGTTGGTGATGAAGTCAAGGAAGCGCTTGGCATACTGCTCGGGGTGCACCGTGGAGATCTCTGCTCCTGCCTGGGGGGGGAGGGAGTGGGGTGGGTGGGGTCAGAGCCCCCCAGCACCCCCCCCTCCAAGAACCATCCCCCCCTCCCCTCCAACAACCACACCCCCCTGTCCCTAGCACCCCCCCTCCAACAACCACCCCCCCCCCAACAACCACCCCCCGCATGATAGGCACCACCAGCACCCCTCACTTGTCACCCCCCTCCCCATAAACCATGCCAGGGGTCTGCCCCCCCCCTCCTCCACCCCAGGAGGGCTCTAACAACCTCACCACACCAAAAAAAAACCCAAAACCTAGAGGGTCTCCTGCCAGCCCCCCCCTCACCCCATGTTTGACGGTCTTGGCTGCGTGTGCTGCCTTCTTGCGGGCGTCATACTGGGTGAGGACATCGATCAGGCCCATGAAGTACACCTCCCGCCGGGGGGCCGCTGGGGCACGACACAGGGAGGGGCAGCAGTTCAGGGGGGTGCCCCCCACCCCCAAAACCCCCCTCCGAACCACCCCCCCCCACCCCACTCACCCTCAGTGCCGCGGAGGGCGTAGACATCGACATAGGGGTCGAAGTCGCCAGGGCCGAGGGGGCGGTGGGAGTTGAGGTAGCTGCCAATGCCCTCGGGGGAGGTCCCGTAGGAGCCCCCCAACACTGTGGCTCCTGCCTCGTCACCCCCCCCACCCTCTTCTTCCTCCACCTCCTCCTCCTCCTCCTGCTCTGCCCGCCCCACTTCGTGGATGCCCAGCAGCAGGCTGTAGTCCATGATCTTCAGCTGCACCAGGAACTGGGCAGGGAGGGAACCAAGAGGTCAGTTGGGGTGGGTGGGGGTCACCCACACTGATGGGGGTCACTCCCATGGCCCCCGGGGGGGGTGCAGCCCCCCCCCCCAATGGCTCCCAGGGCAGGTGCAGCCCCCCAACTCACCCACCTCCACGTCCCTCTTGAGCTTCTCCATGAAGTCCTTCTGGTCCTCCTCGCCCACATACACCTTCTCATTCTTGTTCAAGAAGTCCATGTCCTTCAGGGTGGGCAGGTCCTTGACCTGCGGGGGTGAGGGGGGGGGCACACGTGGGGCAGCCCCCCCCAAAAAGGAACAAGCTCGGGGGGCAGGGGCAGCCAGGAGATTGCTAGGGATGAAGGGGACTCCCCCGAGCAGGCAGCCAAAGGGCTTGGATCTCCTGCACCAACCCTGCCGTTAGGACAATGAGCCATCGTTATGGGGCGCAGGTAATGAGCTGTTATTGGAAGGGGAAGGATAACGATGACTAGAGATCCCCCACCTCAAGTTTGCGGGGGTCACAGCATCACCCCACCCCGGTACCTTCTCCTTGTCGCTGGCCTCTCGGGACACGAGGGAGCCCTGGGAAGAGGTGGGGGAGAAGCAGAGGTAACATGCGGTGATGGAGGAGGTCCAGCCCCCCCACATCCCAAGGCGGGGTGTCCTGTGGTTGGGGGACACCCTGTTACCTTCAGGTCGTATTTCCTGTGGACAGGGAGGCGGTGGCTGAACATGTTCCTCATCACCAGCAGGTAGGTCTCCTCACTGTCCACGCTCACCCGGTACATCCCCAGGAAGCGGGGCAGCAGTGTGCTGCCATGGCACTGCACCACGTACTGGGGGAGGCAGGGGACACAGTGACACACCAGGACATGTGGTGACCGTGTGTGTGTCCCGTCCCGTCCCCCCCAGACACATAACCCCACCCCCCCAGCCCACTGTACCTGGTGGTAGTGGGACAGGAGCCCATGGACATCGGCCACATCCTCGCTCGACAGCTCCTTCACCACCAGCGTCCGGTCAGAGGAGAGCAGGAACCGCCGGTCGCTGCCCTCCGAGTGCGGGGGGCTCCGTGTCAGTGACACCTTTTTGGTGGGTGGGATGGAACAATGAGGGTGACAGACATCGAGCTGGGGGGGGGGGTGGGGAGGGCACTCCCCAAAGCCAGACCCCCCCCCCCCCCGGGCTGTCCACCCCACCTGGTAATCCTGGTCGTCGATGCCGAAGCGCTCGCGGAGGTTGCGGAAGACCTGGGGACAGTACTCCTTGAACTTGAAGTGGCTGGGGAGGTTCTCCCTGGGGATTTGAGGGGTTTGGGGTGGGGAGGGGGAACATGAGGTATTGGCCCCCCCGGGGGTGGGACCCCACTCGTGTCCATGGGTGTGTCCCCCCCAGCTCACCGGTTGAAGAGGTGGTTGTTGACCTTGATTTTGGAGCTGGCTTTGAAGTCATCGGGCAGCAGCATGACAGGCAGCGGGACCTGGCTCAACTCGCTGATCTGGGAGGGGGGGGATTGGGTTGGGCCCCCCCAAAACCAGCCTCAACACCCCCCCCCCCCCAGGGTCACCCCCCGGGCACAGCGGCGACAACGGGGACCCGTTACCCACCCTCCGGTTGAGGGTACTCCCACAGAGGGGTGGCGCGGCTAACGGCCCCGGGTGTCCCCGCGAGGAGGGGACGGGCCACAGGGCTGGGGGCGCGCAGGGAGCGGGGCCCCGAGGACGGGGCGGGGGGGAAGCGGGGAGATGACGGCCCCGGTCCTTACCCCCCGGCGGCGCCGGTGCCCAGCTCCCGGCCTCACCTGGTGGTTGACGCCCCAGGCCAGCACGGCCAGCAGTGGGTCGGCGGCCCGCAGCACCTTTACCCGCTGAGGCACGAACCGCTTCTGCTTCTTCTTGGTCTTGGTACGCGGCGCCGCGGGACCGGGACCGGGACCGGGACCGGGACCGGGACCGGGCCCAGCCGCCGCCATGGCCACCGCTTCCGCCCGCCCCCGCCGCTCACTTCCGCCCGGCCCCGCCGCGGCGCCGGAAGCCGCCCGGGGACAGCCCCGCGCATGCGGCCTGCGCGCGCAGCGCTCCTCACCCCGCCCGGCAGGAGCCCCTTACCGGGGACACGTGATCGCTGAGGGGCGGAGCCTGTTCCCTATCGGAGCCACGTGCTCGCTATAGGGGAGGGGCGTGCTCCCTATAGGAGACACGTGATCGGTATAGGGGCCCGTTCGCTATAGGGGAGGGGCCTGTTCCCTATAGGAGATGTGTGATCCCTATAGGAGTGTGTTCCCTACAGGGGAGGAGCCTGTTCCCTATAGGAGACGTGTGATTGCTATAGGGGCGTGCTTGCCATAGGGGAGGGGCCTGTTCCCGATAGGGGCGGGGCGTGCTCCCTATAGGAGATGTGTGACTGCTATAAGGGTGTGTCCCGTATAGGGGTGGGACCTGTTCCCTATGGGAGACACGTGATCGCCATAGGGGCGGGGCCCGTTCCCTATAGGGCCGGGGCGGGGCCGCTCCAGCCGCACCGGCTGCCGGGCGGCGCGTGAGAGGCGCCGTGCGGCTTTTGGGGCCGTTTCTCTGGTTTCGGTCCCTCCTGTTCGGCGCTGCTCTTACAGACGAGATTTTCCCCATTTCTGTGAAACCCCGCGGCTCAGCCCACGCGCTGGGCTGGGCGGCTGCTCAGGGTTAAACCGTGACAGCTCCCTATAGGGAGCGTGGGGTCGCTATAGGGGACGTGGGGTCCCTATGGGGGACGTGGGGTCCCTATGGGAGATGTGATTGCTATAGGGGACGTGGGGTCCCTATGGGGGACGTGGGGTCCCTATGGGAGATGTGATTGCTATAGGGGACGTGGGGTCCCTATGGGGGACGTGGGGTCCCTATGGGAGATGTGATTGCTATAGGGGACGTGGGGTCCCTATGGGGGACGTGGGGTCCCTATGGGGGACGTGGGGTCCCTATGGGAGATGTGATTGCTATAGGGGACGTGGGGTCCCTATGGGGGACGTGGGGTCCCTATGGGAGATGTGATTGCTATAGGGGACGTGGGGTCCCTATGGGGGACGTGGGGTCCCTATGGGAGATGTGATTGCTATAGGGGACGTGGGGTCCCTATGGGGGACGTATGCTCCCTATGGGAGATGTGATTGCTATAGGGGACGTGGGGTCCCTATGGGGGACGTATGCTCCCTATGGGAGATGTGATTGCTATAGGGGACACGTGCTTGCTGTAGGGTGACGTGCTCTCGATAGGGGATGGTTGCTTCCTATAGAGTACCAGCTGTTTGCTGGAGGCTGCCGTATGTTCCCTATAGGGGTTGCCATGTACAGGACGGGTCCTGCTCCAGCTGGGGAAACTGAGGCTGCAGCAGCGGCGCAGGGCGGCCCTGCCCCCCTCAGACCCCCAGAACCCCCCCAGCCCCCTCACCTCCCCCTCCCCAAGCCCCACCCGGACCCGCTCTGACCCCCAGACCCCCCCAGCCCCTCCCCCTCCCCTCTCCCCAAGCCCCTCCAGCCCCCCCGCCCAATCCCCTCGGACCCCACATGCCCCCTCCGAGACCCCCACCTCCCCCTCCCCAAGCCCCCTCCAGACCCCCCAGGCCCCCTAGAACCACCCAGACCCACCCCAAGCCCCCCCGGACCCCCCCAGCCCCACCCACCCGCTCCACTTCCCCCTCCCCAAGCCCCCCCGGATCCCCCCAGACCCCCAGGCTTCTCTCAGCATCTCTGGCCTTTATTGAGCCGCTCCCAGTGGTGCTGGGGCGGGACATGCAGCGCTGCAGGGGGGCGGGGGGGGTTATGGGGGGGGCTGAGCCCTGAGGGACCCCCCCCAGGTGAAGGGGTGGGGTGGCACAGTGGGTCCCGGGTATGGGGAGGTGGGGGCCACAGCCGAGGTACCAAGCAAGGGGACCCGGGGGGGGGGGAGGGGAGTGCAAAGAGGGGGGGGGCTGACCCCCATTTATGGGGCTGACCCCCACTTGGGGGGCTGGGGACAGGGACGGGGGGGGCAGAATTCCTCCAGGTATCGGCTTAAGGCATCTCGAAGCGGACCCTGGGCAGCACCCCCAGCCCCGGCCAGGGCCCCCCCAGGAGGGTGGGGTCTGGGGGGAGGGCCGGGGGGGGGGCAGGCAGCCCCCCCACCCCCCCAGGACGGGGCCCCCCCCCCTCGCCATGGGGCAGGACAGGGCGAGCGTGGCGGCGAGCACACAGGACACGGAGGTGACACCGGGACATGCGAGCGGAGATGGGTCCAGCGGGACCTGGGGGGGGGGGGGACATGCAGGGGTGGGGGTGCAGCCCCCCCCCCCCCCCCGGAGGTCCCCCGGGGATATGGGGGACCCCAGGTCCTGGAGGGCTCTGGGTGGGGGTGCTCAGGGGGACCCATGGGATATGGGGGCGCTCAAGGGATGTGGGGGGTCTAGGGGTTCCCAGGTGGGTCTGGGGGATGTTGGGTGACCTCAAGGCGGGGGGACACACAGGTGAGATTTGGGGACTCAAGGGATATGGGGGCACCTAAGGGATAGGAGGGGGGCACATGGGATTTGGGTGGGGCTCGGGAGATGCCAGGGGAACCCAAAGGACACAGGGGTGGTGGTGGGGGTGACGTGGGGCTCCCCGGGGGCACCTGAGGAACGGGCGGGGGTGGTCCCCAGTACCTGGGGGGGGGCATTAGCTGGCCGCTGTCTCCTGGCGCAGAGGGAAGAGCTTGGATTGCTCCTCGGCCTCGCAGGCGCAGGACAGGTCGCTCCTGGGGGGGGGACATGGGAGTCACCCCGCGCCTGGACCCCACCCCCCCACCCCGGCTGCAGCCCCGCCCAGCCCCCCCTTACCTGTTATCATTGATGTCTGTCACGTTCCCTGCAAGAAAGAGCAGCAGCTCCAGGAGGAGCTACGGGGGGACCCCCCAACCCCCCCCAAGGCGCCCCCCCTCACCATTATCCACGTTGAGCTGCTGGTAGGTGTCCGGGGGGGTGCTGCTGGAGAGCGTGGTTGGGCCGCTGGCAAAGCTGAGTGGGGGGGGGACATGTGAGGATGGGGGGACACACACATGGGGACATGGGGACAGAGGTCTTGAGACCCCCCGGGCACTGCTGGCACCGGGGTGCCCTGCACCCCGCTGCCCCCCCTGGCCCTCCACAGCCCCTGTGCCCCTCTTGTGCCCCCCCCATTCCCCCAGCATCCTTGTGGCCCCCATGCCCTGTCCCCACCCTGCACCCCCCAGTGCCCTCCCTCCCTGCAGGACCCACCCCCCACCCGTGCCCCCCCCACTCACAGGCCCTGGGGGCCAGGCAGGGCCCCCCCTCCGGGGTAACCCTGGAAGAGGCTGTTGGTGTAGCTGAGGCCGGTGGGTGACGCCGCTGGCACCTGCCCAGGCCGCACTGGCTTGGCTGGGGGGGGGACAGGGGGGCTGAGGGGTGCTGGCTGGCACCCAGTGCCTTGGGGTGTCTCGGGATGCCCCCCCCCAAGGGTCTGTGCTGCCCCACCCCCGGCGAGGGTCCCCTGACTCTGTGCACCCCAGGGGGTGTCAGGCTGGGTGCCAGGTCCTGCACCCCCCACCCTGTGCACCCCAGAGCATCCGGGTGCCCGTGCCCACCCTGCGCCCCACGCTTCCCCCTTGAACCCCGGGTTTCTGTGCCGCTTCCGCACCCCCCGCACCCCCGGTCCCTGCACCCCCGGCCCCCTCTGCCCCCCCGATCCTCCCGCACCCACCCTGCGCACCCCTTGTTTCTGTGCCCACCCCGCACCCCGTGCACCCCAGGTCCCCGCGCCCCCCCGCATCCCCGCACCTCCTGCCCCCCCCCGCAGCCCCGCTCCCGGTCCCCCCGCAGCCCGCTCCCGGTCCCCGCGCCCCCCACTCACCCCCGGTCCCCCCGGTCCCCGCTCACCCCCCCGCATCCCCCCGGTCCCCGCATCCCCCCGGTCCCCGCTCACCCCCGGTCCCCCCGGTCCCCCCCCACACCCCCGGCCCCCCCCCCCCGTCCCCCCCCGGTACCGATGTGGGCGCTGTGCGCGCGCCGGGCCGCGCCCCGGGCCCGCACGGCCTCGCGGATCCGCTCCACCTCCTGCTGGTACCGCCGCTTGTCCAGGCGCGCGCCCTCCTTGGCGTCCCTCAGCGCGCCCTCCAGGGCCTGCACGCGCCCAGCCGTAGCGCGCAGGCGCTTCTCCAGCTTCGGAAGCTCGCAGCGCAGGTCTGCATTGTCACGGACCAGCTGCGCGGCCGCGTCAGCGCGGGGCCGGCACCCGCGGCACCCACGGCACCCACCGCACCCACCGGTACCCCACGGCACCCACCGGTACCCCACGGCACCCACCGGTACCCCACGGCACCCACGGCACCCACGGCACCCACCGGCATCGCCCGGCACCCACGGCACCCACGGCACCCACCGGCATCACCCGGCATCGCCCAGCATCCACCGGCACCCCGGGACCCCCGCACCCACCGGCACCCACCCCCACCCCACGGCACCCACGGCACCCACCGGCATCGCCCGGCACCCACCGGCACCCACGGCACCCACCGGCACCCACCGGCACCCACCGGTACCCCACGGCACCCACCGGCATCGCCCGGCACCCACCGGCACCCACCGGCACCCACCGGCATCGCCCGGCATCGCCCGGCACCCCCGCACCCCGGCACCCACGGCACCCCACAGCATCCACGGCACCCACCAGCACCCACGGCACCCACCGGTACCCCACGGCACCCACTGGCACCCACCGGCATCACCCGGCATCGCCCGGCATCGCCCGGCATCCACTGGCACCCCGGCACCCCCGCACCCACCGGCACCCACCCGCACCCACCCGCAACCAGCAGCACCCACCGGCACCCACACCAGGCACCCATGGCAGCACCGAGGCACCCACTGGCACCGGGCACGCATCAGCACCGGGCGCCCACCCACACCAAGCACCCACCAGCACCCAGACGCACCCACACCAAACACCCACCAGCACCCAGACGCACCCACACCAAGCACCCACCAGCACCGGGGCAG